AGATATATTCGATTCCAATTCCGAGGCCCACTGGGCGCACCATTTGGGCCGCCGGTCAGCAGCGCTTTCCTCATTGTTCACCTAAATGTTTGTGTGTGTGTGTCGGACCGCTCGTGAAAAGACTGTGGCCATATCTGGATGTGTGGGATGGTCATGCCAGTGAAGTGCCCGACTATAGCCTGGTTCCAAATCTCCCGTCTGTGCTAAAAAAAATCTGTGAACATCTCAGGATAGTCCACCAACTGATGTTCGGACCAGATGCATTTCCTCTGACACACACTGATTGATTCCATATAATGTTAAAAATCTGCTTTCTGCACCTCAGATTGAAAGCAAATTCAATGAAATAATGAAAAAAAGGAAACAGACTTGTTGGCCTCAACATCTTCACCAATCCAACTGCTTCGTCAGGACCCTCTTTCTTCCCATACCCCAACCACCCCTGAGCTCCCATACAATGTCATCTCTGGGCTCCCATGCGTTCCGCTCCACCGCAAGGGCCCGGCGCTCCCACTCACGTAAGGCGCTCGGCTTAGCCTTTGCCAAGGGCCGGTCCTCCTTGCAAACCGGGTCACACTGCTTGTCGGTGCGGAACATATCGCCCCGAAGGCAAGAGCTGGGATCAGAAGGAGCGAAAGCAGGTTGTAAAATGGGTGGTTTCCAGATTTTGATCACGGGATGAAACTGGAGATGGAAAAACAGGAGATGAATGCCAGCAAGAGAAACTAGATGAAACTAGGCATGGTTATATATGTCTTGGTTCTTGTGTTGCCAGGCTGTTGTGTTGGGTGTCAAGGATTGCAGGTGGCTGACTCCTCTTTTGAGTGCAAGTGCATTGGTCTATCTTTCGGGATGGATGCTCATGGCATGATAGCCTTGGTTAAAGGGAAAAGCATCCTTGCAGCCATCAGTCAGGGAGCTCATCGCCAAGGAAAGTTGAACAAACCCTTTGCTGCCTGTGATGAACACTCCTTTCATGCATCACAATATGGGATAAGTTCTAAAAGGTTCGTTGTCTCTTGGACCATCCTGTACCTAATCTCAATACAGAGCTTGATTGCCATCTGACAAGCTTGTCCAGTCAAGCGCATTGCATCCATACTCGTGCACATCATAGTCTTCGCGGTTGGATGTATATGTTAATTCTTCCATCAACACCTCTAGCCAGGTCCTGTAGTTTTGTCTCATCTCAATTGAATTGTCTACTGTAGTCCCAGTCTAGTCCCATATTGATCCAAATAAAGAGCCTTGTCAAGTTAAAGGTCTAGTCCCACTCCTAGTTAGTCTAGTCCAAGTTCAATCCTACCTATTAAAAGACAAGGGATGCCGATGTTCAGTTCACTCGTTTTCCCCTCACCATCTCCCCTCCTTTCGTGAGGTGGTTGCCACTTCTCCGCCGCCACCACCACCACCACCACCGCCACCAAAGAGGCCCCAGCCCTCAGTGTAGAAGCGACTCGTCTACCACACCAAGAAAGCAAATCATGTTTTGCTGGGATGTGACCACTGAAGATGATAGAGTTCATTACTAGCCAACCAAATGATGTTAGTAAGTCATTAGTAAGCATGATATGTTGGTGACGGATGTGTTCGAGAACTGAAGTTGTCTGTTCTAATCCAGACCAACAGGAGCTTATTCACCCATTGCAAATCACAAGAGACTGAGACTGAAGACCTCCAAAAACACGTACCTGCTACCAATATGGCTTCAAGCTACGACAACTTCTACCTTCCAAAGGTAACGCCCTCATCTGGTTTCTTCATCACATTGAACGGTCCCACTTATTTGCTTGGTGTCTCATCCTTTGGAGCCTCTAACAGCATGCTCTAAATTGCTTATCGAATCTATGTATATAGAGAGAAAGAGGAGATCCTCTCCTCAAGAGGATCCCCGTAAAACTATGATTTGGAGAACAGCAGCAGGAAAGTCTGTCTAGGAGTCTAGAAAGAAAACATCTATCTAAAATCTAATGTCCTGGAGCCAAGAAATCAAGCTGATCTTCGGTATGTTGTCTGCTTCGGTCCAATTAGCACCGGACACCAGACGAGGAAGCAGCGCCGCCGCCCGAAGATCCGGAAAACCAACTCATGGCAATCAGGTGGCGATTCAAGCGAAGATCTCGGGGCTTGGGGCTTTAGAGTATTTTCTGCTATAACTTATGTTGATAGTAAAGCAAGCGAATTCTTCTTCTAGGATTCGAATATGTTTATAAGATCAATCAGGGTTTCCAGCCCACCACATTGACGATATCGAGTGTTAAAAAGTACATCAAAGCTGGCAGCTCCTGAACATCACTGCAATAGGATTGCATCTTCTGCACATCTTTCCACAAGGCCGTCATGCCTGCCGCTCTGATTTGCACAGTATATAATTATATGAATCTGCTTACGCTCTCGGTCGTCGGTCACCTGACCTTCGGTGGGAACCACAAGCAGTTAAAGCTGCAGGTGCCATGTGCTCCAACATGATCTCTGCTGTTTGGAAGATCTGGGCGGCGAAGCAGAGCCAAATGTCACATCATGACCCGTAATAATAACGCCCTGTTTCTGCCTCATTTCATTGACAATTTGCGCGTAACCCAACTCAAACATGAGGTATACCGTCCCCGGGTGTCTGGATTCGAGTCTTGAAACCACGCGCATGCGAAAGATCCAGTCAATACTTTGCCCACCTCACTCATGGCTTTAAGGCTTTGACCACATTCGCTTGGGCGTTGTGTAAGTGCCCTCATGTAGAATTCCTTCTTTGACACAGAGCCACCCACATCAACGGGGTCGGATTCTCAATTGATTCTAGGGTTTTGTACTCCGCATCTGCTGATATTGACGGATTCAGCAAGACCCACTGATCGTCCAAGGAAGAGAACCCGAGGAAGCCCTTCCAACCGGCCGACCATCACAACTGACCATAGCAAAGAAAGCCCAAAGGCTTGCACAATAAAGCCTTCATGAAGGAAACAACACGGAAAAAATCAACAACACGGAGACGGACACCATTCTTCGGTTCCATCTAGAGAACCCCTTGAGAACGTGAAGGGAACTTCCGGTCCCACTGAATCCATGGAACAACAACCTGCACTTCCTTTATAACACTGACCATCCATGGAATCCATGGATCTTCCATGTATATGGAACAGTTCCATACCTCAATTTACCGTTGAATCGACATTAGGACGCTTTGGTCTGAAGACTAAAGCGCCTTTAAAACTGTCACTGGCCCTCTCGAGGTCAGCCTCGCACAGCGCAGCAAACACACTCGTGGCCAGTCTTACCACCAACAATCAAACCGGCCAGGCTCAGTCTACGATGCCTTCTCAGACAAAAGCCCGCTGTACATGACCGTCTTCGATTATGTCTGACAACGGAGAGACCTCCAACGACCACTGGTTGGGAGGATTGTTTTTCTGAGAGTAACTCAAGAGTCCTATCAACTATCGCACAATCCCCGCCTTCCCATCAGGATCAACGCCCATTTTTTAGCGCAGTGATCGAAACAACAAGCTTCAAGCCAAATTCATGACAGAACCACCAGAACAACTCCCAGAAACAGCAACAGCTACCCAAAAAGGCAACAAGGCAACAGAAACAGCAACAACAACAACAACAACAACTACTACTACTACTACTACTACTACTCCTACAGCCAACAGCTCACAACCCACACAGCTACACAGCCAAAGACCCCGACCGCACTATGGCTGAAATGGATAGGCAATCTCGTGCTATGCCACTGTGATGTCCTTGGCAAAAGTCAAAGCAGGTTTCCACTTGATCAAGAAATTTTGGCCAAATGATGCACCCCAAATTCGAACAAGTGTTGTTCCTTTTAAGACAGGAATCGAAGCAAAGCATGACTGCAAATGGATCAAGTGCAAACAGTCGACAGAGTTGTTGGTAAACATGCTTACCGATGCACCCCTTGTTGAAGTTGCACGTGTTCCATTCCAGAAGTGCACTTCATGGCTTTATATAATTCAACATGAATTCTCGCAAAAACCGGACAAAGCCCGCTCACGTAGTGCGACACTGGGCCCATCCTGGATGCAGGGGTGCACTGGCCACACAAGTTAGGCAATTCAAGGACGTATTGAATAGTTTGGAACAGTTTGTATCCCTCAATCCACGTCACGTCCTAGTACGTCATAGTACTTGTTACTGGCCAAATATTGGTTGAACGAAGTGTGGAACTGCTCCTGAATAATGCAATTACTGAGACCAAGGCGCTAGCTACCACAATAAAGATGCATGCCTCGTTCCATCACCAAGCATGCATTCAGCCTTCTTTTTTGTGCTCATGTGCGGTTCAGCTCTTCCAAGTGTTGCTTTCTCTCGCAAGTCCAATCCACCAGCGCGAGGGAAATGGCTCTCGATTCGCATCCCAAAGTGAAGTCCCAACTTTAATATATATATATATAATGATAAACTTTGGGTCTATCCTATTACCTGTAACAGTGGATGATGATGGTTAGCAAAGGCCTTGTCCAAAAATAGTAATAGGACAGACCCATAATAAACCCACCCACAGCTTGAAATTCATGCTGAATTTCCTTGGTGCCCTAAGACTGGAGAGGTAATTCTGGGGAAGAATTTCCTTTTCGAAGACACAATGCCGCACGCCAAATGAGACGAGGACTATGGGATGCTAAACCTAAAACAGCTGAAGCATAGCTGTTAGAGCTGAGATCTTTCGCTCAGTCCTAGACACTGTGGCAGACCACACACCCAATTCAGTGATATGGTCGGGCCAATGGTCCCCTGCAGTCCACGTCAACCAGGAGCTGCTTCGGCGACTGCCCTGTACAACCGCGCGGATTGGATACCGCTTTGAAGGCTGTTTCAACGTGTGGTCAGTCAATTTGCGTCGCCGACCCGTAGTTGCACACTTTGGAATCACCATCAATCGATGCTAAATGCTCAGGTACATAGCATTACCTTTTGTTGCATGTAGTCACCAATATTTGGCCTGTGCCCACTCTGAGTAGGTATAATATAGTTCAGGAACCCCTGTTTCGTTTCTTCCCATTCCAAAGTGGCGAAATCGTCATTTGTCCCACATCACCACATCGTCACATGACGGTCAAAACACCTCGCACCACGACTACTGTTGGGCTCCAATGGTCTGAGCCGCTGGAGCGCTGGAGGAACTGGAGGAACCGGGATGATACCTCACAATCCTCAGATTTCGCTGGGTGGACGGACAAAAGTACAAAAGTCTGTCGTTACGCAACCTCACTTGTTCTGAGATCATTGGGAGTCTGGATTTCTCTATTCAGCCATTGTTGGGTATCCTTGAGACGGAAGATCTTCCATTGGTTTGGGGGAGCCCACGACAAAGAGACAGCAAGCCCAAAGGTTCAATGCCTTGGAGTGAAAACAACAGGCCATGCCAAGGAAAGTTCAGCCGGACACACTGCTCTGAAGTGTTGCCTTTCAGTGTTACCTGTTCAAGCCTCCCAAAATCCATTGAAATTTGTTGACTGGAGATGTCGGTGGCTCAGAAATCTGCAGCTCTGGGCATCTCTTTTGGGCAAAAGACTGGAAGCGTCGGAAATGACGGAGGAGTTTAGCTCGACTCCAATGTATGAACATGAACAGGTGCAGAAAGTGTCCGTGGACTCCACACCACTCCACACCATTTATAGAGGGTCTCACACAAAGCCAGTCCCAAAAGGATACCATCGCCATTAGGTCGGAGGCCATCGCTAGTAGGTTGGAGGGCATCGCTAGTAGGTTGGAGGCCATCGCTATTAGGTTGGAGGCCATTGCTATTAGGTTTGAACTCACCGAATAGACCTGGACCTCGCCCCTCCAACTGCACCAAGGATCAACTTTGTGTTGGTTTGAGGATAGCGGCCCAAGGCCAAGTCCCTCAGCCACTGAAGTCTTTGGCTCTTTCACTGTGCAGCGACTATGAGCATTATATTAAAACTAAAAGAGCTTCTACAAACAGCAAACCTGAACGAGAGAATCTCTATATTAACAAAGCACTGCTTGATCAGACACATTGAAGGCCAATCCATTTGGAGAAAGACCCCCCAAGCGCACCAACGACCCGCAACAAACGGAGGGTATAGACTCGGTTGAAGACAAGCGCAGCCGTCACAGGATGCTTGCAGCAATGTCATCAGTAAGTCATCAGTCAGTAGGTTTAGCAAGACTATGAGATACCGGGTACATGCCAGTTCACGCAAAAAGCGGGAAGCAAGCGAAAAGGGCCAGGTGCTCTTAAAAGCCCTTGAAGTCCATTCCGTCCAACTTTCAAGTGAAAATCGATCAAAAAGTCGAAAGGTCGAGAACTCAACCCCAAAACCAAAACCTAAAGCCGAGTGAGAAAACTGTGCGCGCACTTTCGTTCGTTCATCGCCCTTTGTTTTTTCTTGCCCTTTCTCTTCTTTTTGACTTTGTTGATTTCTCGAGTGTGTCGGCACAGGGGGCCGGTAAATCTGTGGTTCCAGTTGACCCAGTTGACCCGGTTGAACAGGTGTCCCGGTTGACCCAGTTGACCCGGTTGAGCCCAGTTAAACCCGGTTGACCGAGTTGACCCGATTGACTTTGTGTGATGGCAAGTGTGGTAGTGCCAGTGGCAGCAGCAGCAGCAGCAGTAGTGGTAGCTTGTTGGGGTCAACTGGGTCAACTGGGTCCGGAGATTTAGCGTGGCTTCTTTTGCGGCTGCAATGGACTTTTCTCACGATTCTATTCCAAATCACATCCTGGGTTTTCGCGAGCTTAGCATTCGGATCCCGAACACGCTCCCAACTTGACGCATCACTCCCACAGGGGGATCAAGACCGCTACCCTCAAGGCAAGCAGCTCTTTTGAGCGGCAGCAGAAGCAATAGCCGCAGCAGTTCCTTGGTTGATACAGGATGTTAAATCCACATGCTGGAAAACGTTTCGTGGAGCTCTCCTGGTGTTGGAAATGGTGCTTCTTGAAATGTCTTAAGTATTTGTTTGTGTGTCCTCACTGTTTCTCATCATTGTCACAATATGCATAGACCGGAGATGGCAGTTTGGTTGCGATCCTGATCCGGACCTGGACCTAACAGACATAAGAAACCAAGAAACCCTACCATTTCCAGCTATCTCAAGAGAAGGTTGATTCACACTTCACACTCTACAAAAATTTGCGAAACACTGGCATCTGAAAGAGGTTGCTCTTTGCAATCAAAGAGCGGCTCTGTTCCGGGTGCAAAAGGCATCTTTGCCTCAGTTTTGGGTGAGCGAATGGAGCAAATGGATGTCAACGATGTACCATGGGTGATTCCTTCCAGGAATCCACAATGGATGGTCCCGAGCTGTCCCAGCCACACGAGGAATTGAAACTTATAATATGGCCTATATGGCCTCTGCACAGAGCAACCCCTCTCATTCGTTGCGTAGGTAGTTACGGTTGTACAAACCTCCAAGGAACTTCTGGGGCTCCAAATGCGTGCGTCTCAGCATACCAAAGCCAATAGATTCCCACAGAGTCTCAACAAAAAGCAGGATCGAACATTCAAGACACGCCCTTCTAGAGCCACCGGGCCCGACGTGAACTGGCTAAGTTCTGCCTAGACACTCGCCTCACAAACTCGTCCCAGGCCTGGACAACAAGGCCGAGGAACGAGTTGCACTTTTCTTTGGTTGTCACGGGGTGTGTGCCAACTAGGTCCACGCTGAGTAGACGGCCGTGGAGCTTTGTCATGATTTTGAGATCTTGGAGCCGTTGTAAACCTTTAGCCTGACTGGGTTTCTGACGTTTTCTGGACTTTGTGTCATTGAGGCCACAACCTGACTGGGGTGACAAAAGAAAAAGTATATAACAGGAACCAGAAAACTGCTACGAATAACGCCGCAAACAATGTTGTGTTCTGATCGAGTGTCCAGCATCCAGTTTACACGAACTGTCGTTTCATCTGCACGACATTGCTGTAGTCTTCGTCCTTCTAGAACCGAGTGTTCACATAGTGTCGGTTCATCCACAAGCCTATAGTGTTCCAGTTTCCGGAATCGAGTGTACAAGTGTGCAAGACCAGTTGTTTCATCTTCAAACTGGTGATAATGCAAATTGCCTCCCCCCACTCACACACCCCGGGAGAAAGTGTGTCAACATGAATGAGTCTGACGCTTGCATTCAATGACGCTTGCATTCAAAATACATTTTAAAAGAATGAAAAAAAAACATTTAACATGCACAAAAATGCACTTTGAAAGCACTAACTCTCCCCCCAAAAATATAGCAAACACAAACGCTAAAGAACCTAAGAAACACCACGGCCGTTTGTGCACTGCGGTCCATCTAGTCTAAGACTACTGCAGGTCTAACTCCAGTGGTATATACATATATTGTAGATTATTGTAGCCACCAACCTTTTCCAATTATTCAAATCAAAACTCAGCATCCCCAGAAGTACAATAGGTTATCCCGAATTCCCTCAGTTTTCTTTTGCTCTGAACAAAGGCCATCTGGCACGCATCAGCCAGGCCACCTCTGTCTTCACCAACTTGCCGTCGTAGTCCAAATATGCGACTTTACGCACTCGGTACCTTGCAAGCGAGCTGCAAGCGAGCCTCTGGTTGTAGAAGTGTGGTCAGACCTATGAGGGCAGTCCTATGGGGAGAACCTTTAAACTTGAGAATGTAACACCCAATAATGTTTTTGTTTATTCAATTTTATTCGCACAAATATGATGCAAAAGTATCCGGCGAGTCGTTCACCATCTGTGCAGCTTCTTGGGATGCATTTCAGGGGTCTAAATAAGTCTCAAGTCTTCAGAAAACACAATCCCTCTGTAACCGCGCTGTATCAACCTGCACCGCCTTCGGATCCCTTCAAATCTCTTCGTGGCGAGACGCTGATAGTTTGGCTCCGACAGGGGAAGCGTCTCGTCGGTGTGGCTCACACGAAGCATCTCGTTCAGCTCCGTGACGGGTTTGAAGCTTGGCCCATACATATCCACCGCCGCATTTTTGCATTCAAAGGTATCCTGCAACGGAGCGGAACAACCAATAACAAAGGGCATCACTACTAGTAACAAGTGCATCGCTACTAGTAGTTTCTTGCTACTAGTAGTAATGCATAGTAATGCCCTTGTTACTAGTAGCGATGTGATCAACTCTGCAAGGTACACGACTGGGGAAATGGCTAAGACTGAGCAAGCTGCCGCAGCTTTTGAACATCATGACTGCGTGGCAGACTGAACCCGAGAGCCCGTGCACAATGTCCGCATTGGTTGCGTTTAAAGGATGATATACGTGGCCAATGGCTGACGTTGAATACAACCACTCAGGCTCTCTGATCATATGTAACACTGACGTCCAGCGCATCAATGAGAAACATTTCCCCTGCAAACAAACAACAAATCTGGGATGCAGATGGCATGTCTTGTGATGCATTTTAATGCTGACAGGCGTTCTGTCCTCTGGTTGGTCCACATAAATCCATCCAGGCCCGGTGCCATAGAGGTTAATCCACTTGCCGTTGGGGGAGAGTTCCTGAGGCACAGCTGCCCAAAGCTCTTCAGGCTCTCAAGTCGAGAGGTCAGCAACCTGAACAAAAAAACATATATATATATATGAAACACCCCCCAAAAAACCTACCTTTTATTAGACAATTTCATGCTTGGGGATGATAATCTATGAGTCCATTGAAAGGGGAGTACTATATATATATATATAAGGACGTTATACGGGTGTGTGTTTTCCACGCCTACGAAAAGCACCACTTTGGACAAGTTTCCACACAAATCGAAGAGAATGCAGCTAAGTTGGGAAGTTTGTGGCCCACGGACTTGTACAGCCAACAATATTCCAGTTTCTGGACTTGCGTGACAGCATCAAAAAACCTGATCTGGGGGGGGTCGGCCAAAAAGAAGAAACAGTTACCACCAAAAAAGCAAACCAATTTCTTTTGGCCGACCCCCCCTAGATCCGATGAACTAGAAGACTACTACTCACGAGTAAACAACGACCACCTACCAACGACCAAGGACTAACCAAACCATTGCCTTGGAAACTAGAGCTGTAACAACAACGTCTCGTCCTCAACGTCGACGTCGCGGGCTTGCTGATCTCCGCTCCGCGCATTCTGGTTTATAGAGAGAGAGAGAGAGACACTGACTGGCTGGCATCCCGGTTGTCAGGATCGTCTACAGCTCCTCCTGGAGAAGAACCATGCAACAAGACGCGCAGCAACTCTATCGTGCAGCAAGTCCATGAGAAGACCCCCACGAAGCCTGTGATCAAAGAGTATCTCTCGCAGAAAGTGGACGACCTGCGAGCCATTTCCTCTAGCAAAGGGCGTAGAACAAAGGCCATGTGAGAGTGAACGCGCTTTTTCAGTGGTCGGGCAGCACTTTGCAGCAAAAGTTTGTTCCATGGGTCATTTGCTGGGTTCTTCATCCTCATCGCACGACTGATTTGTCACAAGACACGTGTTCAGTTTGAGCTGTACGGTAGCCACCTCTTGTGAGGATGTCCCAGCACACTCAGCTGCAGCAGCAGAAACCCTGGTGAGTCCAGGCATGGCATTGTCCAGGATGCAGAACTTCATCGCAGCGCTGGACTTGACTAACATGCTGCTCTTTCGCCAAATGGATTCAGGTAGCTTTGAGAAGCTCCAGGTCAACTGGGCTCAGCTTTCTGACATCATGCAGTCGCACGGTGGCGAGAAGGTCTTCGGCGCCTGGCCATTATGGGGTATAATCCCTTCGATCTACGCCCTCTTCAGCAACAGTGGGAAGATAAAGCATTCCGTGAACTGCTCGCCTGTCTTCCTTGATTGAGAGCGTCAATCTGACACAGCTGCGGGCCTATGCTCTACAGCACCAAGACCGTCGTCAGGACCTTCTCGAGCCTTACATAACAGGCATGATCGGCGATTGGTCACAGATTGCGGTCGAGCACTACCTTGCACCAGGCTATGGACGGCTCCTGGCTCAAGGTCCGGCTGGGCAAAAACTCACCCGAGAAGCTCGCGAGATTGCATTTGCGCACCTTGTGGAGATTGATGCTCCGCGTTGCCATCCTCGACTGCTTCACTGGCACCTGCAAAAGTTGACTTTGTGGACCGCTGGCGACTACCACGCTTCAACTCTTCTGCGCAAACTACAACGCGCGGCGTTCAGCTTTGGCTGCCTACACGCAGGTTGACATGGACGTGGCCAAGAAGGCGCTCATCCGCATCTTCTATGGGGGCAATGGGCAAGCCATCTGTAGACATTCCTTGGCTCAGGAAGCTTGGAGAAGAAGTCGAGAAAGCCGCGCAAGCAATTGTGGGCCATGAGTCCTCTACGCGATGGTGGGACATGTACCGAGATCGCGCCAATCCGGAATTCAGCCGCCTATCAGAGGCCTCCCTGCTCAATTTGTTCCGCAAGCAGGTTGGTCTCCACATGGAGGTTGCCTTGTTTGATGGAGCTTACCTGCAGTGCAACACCTTGGCGGAAGATGTTCGAATGCGGCAATGCTTCCGCAAGGCCGCCGAGAATTTCATTCCCGTGGAGATGGAGTCACCACCCCCTCATGTCCAAGGCTTTGCTCGTCTGCTGGACCCTGTCGAAGTGACTCTGGACCCTGATTTGCCTGAGATGCGCTTTGAGAACTGCTTGCTGAATGAGTTGCGATTCGTGTCGCCCGATATGGACTTGAGCACGCTCGTAGACCAGCTTCAAGCAACACCGGACGCGGGTCTCAGCGCCAATGACTTGAACAGCGCCGCCCTCTATGGTTCCCAGCGCGCAGAACCGTGCTGCGCACCTCCTTGCAGACACTGAAGGCATCACTGGCCCAGTTCTTTGTGATGAATGGCTCTCTGATGAAGGGCACTGGTGGTCGCTTCTCGTCAAGCCATCTGCTGTCCAGCTGCATGACTGCTTGGCAGACGGTGTCTTGTAGTCCTGTTAACTGCTGACATGGACGCCTTCAAGGCCATGACCTCGTCGACCTCTGCGTTGACCTTCTTCATCCTGGTCAAGGTGGACGCGACAACAGTCATTCCGCAGGGTGATGCCTACCATCTTCGTGGCAAGGTCACCTCCACCATCACCACGCCGCTGTCTTCTTGCACTATTTGCTCTGCACCTCTCGTGCACGCTCAGATTGAAGAACAAGAGCCTGCTGATGCATCTGTATGAGTGAGAGCCGGTGGAGGTAGCGTCCATGAGCCTTGGGTCGGATCTGAGTGAAAGCCTTCATGCTGATATGACAAGTCGGCTTGGCGCTGAACTTTTGTTTATAGTGAAAAAGTTTGCGGATCTTTGTGCGCCTTCACATGTGCTAAGCCATCGTCTTGGTCATGCAAAATGCTTTGCATTCACAGTCACCTTTCATAGGCGCTTCTGGGGCCATTCGGAAGATCGAATGGGACCCTATGGCCAAAAAGCATTTGGAAGGCAGGCATATCATCTTGCACACCGATGCTGCCAAGTCTTACAAAGCCACGGTCAAGTGCGTCCTTCACGAAAATGTTTGCCATTGCAAGAAGCGGGTGAAAGTGAGAGGGAAAATCATGGCAAGCGCCTATCTGAGTTCGCATTGCACCCAAAGACTTGCAAAAAAATGCGAGCCAAGGGGCGCAAGTCATTGACAGGGCGTGGAGGCTCCTCAAGGACCGCATCCACCTGCAGTCAAATTCAAAGGTCGGGTCTGCCATGAGTACTGGATGGGCCAAGACCTTTGGAAGCTGACTGGCTCGCTCTGCCAGTGGGAGCTGGCAAAGTTTGTCCCATCAGCCTGAACTCGTGCTCCAGCATCGGCCAAAAAAGATCACTACCTTGCTTGCAGCATAGTGCGCCCTGCTGTCTTTGAAATGTTCTCTCAACATATAGATCTGACATGCACTGGCAACAAATTTTGCAAATTCCAACGTCATCCTTTCAATGTCCATCCAGAAACAAGCACTCAAACATAGCAAGAAATACATTTTGAATATGGTTGCATCTGCGCATGTTGTTCTTCTCAAAGACCACAATATCGTCAAACATGTGCTGTTCAATATGTGTTCTGAAATCTCACCAAATCATTGCAAATACCAGTGAAATTGTCTAAAAGGTAGGTTTTGGGGGGTGTAGCATATATGTAATATATATATATATCAATATATCAATATTATATATATATACAGTATATCAATATATCAACATACTATATATATCGTCTTTTTTGGATCTTTCGGAATAGCATGATCAATCTGGAAGGAAATACTAGGTTTACCACATTTCACCAAGTCACCAAGCTGTGCACGTACTAACATTGAGACCACTCAAATGTTTAAGGGTATGACTTACACTTGATTCTGTCCACAAGAATACTATGCCGCTGCTCTGCTACACGCACAGTCAGACTAAAAGGGGGAAGGCAAAGCTTGTCCTTTCTATATGAATTGCTTATCCGCAAGCTGAATGAGTCTCTCTTCCATGACTGGAAGGTTGAAATCACCGGTTACAGATTCAGGACGCACACCTAGTAACAATCCCCTGATCACTTCAGTTCGTCCCTCCCTGAGCGTAGGCATGCATGCAAATTGTAGAAGTACTCCCAAATGCGTTCAATAGCTAAAATTGAGTGGTTGATCTAGATCTTGGCCCTAGAGGCCCATGGCTACGCATGGCTACGCAAGGCTACGCATGGCTACGCATGGCTACAAATGGCTACGCATGGCTCCAGACAGCACAACTTTGAAAAGCCAAGAGACAATACGAAGTGTGGAATTCGTCAGGGCAGCTCCAAACATCGTCTGGTGACGGCCGGGGCCAAAGGGCTAAACCGGAGAGCGCGCAAGGAAAAGATTGAAAAAGTACACATTCAAACATACACATCAGAGAGGGCAGTATAGGAATGGGAAAGGAAGCGAACAAAGTATCCCTTCAGGCCGACTCAACCACCACCACTAGAAAAGCCCTAGACTTCCCTTCGTCCCAACTCAGGGTCGGATTGAAAATCCACCGGGCCAAAGCTAAACCGGAAAGCACGGACAAACACTCGCTTTGCTCAGCAACATCGCACTTTCGATGCCAATATCAGGCATTGTTAAAAGGGCAAAGGACACATTCTTTCACGAAAATGCGGAGGACCTTTTCGCAAGATTGTCCCTTAGCCCCTTAGCCCGTGCGGACACGACAATGTGAGCAAAGGTAGGCCAAAAAGTTTGGAGGTTTTCCCGCACCCCACACTCTGTGTCAAAGTCAAAACTCATAGGGTTACAAGACAGGGGGGGCAAGGAGGGGTCAGCAAAATGAAAGATCTTAGCAAGGTTCTTTCGAGTGGAATTGAAGGATAACTTATTTTTTTCCTTTGCCGCTTGGCTCACTTGTCACTTGCCACTGTTCTGTTCAGACGCCAGCCGCTCTGTAAGTTGCGTTACACATTCCAAGATTCTTTCCCTGGATGGCATTTGCCATGCTTAGAATATGCTATGGGACAATCCAAAACCACTACAATTGCTGATATAAACGACTCCAGCTAATGGTTCCCTCTGATTCCTCTAAACTCTGATCCACACCCAGCTGGAAAGGGTCACAAAGAGCCACAGCGGCTAGTGAACACCTCATGAAGATGTCTCTGCTGGGTTGTTCGGCCGTAAAAACATGACCACGAGTTGCCAGGTGCGAGAACACCATTCCGTGCCGAGTGACAATGCAACCAAAACAGTTGGCTGGAACACCGAAGTTTTCCCAGTATTTCTTCTGAGCCTCAACGTGATACTCCAATCAGGTTTTGGCAACATGGCCACAGAGCACCGATATATATATATATATATGTTTTTTTTCTTAATGCTGCCAGAAAAGAAATCATGTACAGAGCCAACCACCGATCCACAAAATCTAAGAGATTCTTCCAGAAGCAATTCAGCAGACTTCCTAACTCTCCAAAGTAATCCTGCACTGTGTCACTGTAAAACTCTGCCAAGTACGCCAAGGAACTACTTTAGAGTCGTCTGACCAATCTGCCCCTCCAAAGGTAAAGAGCGTCTCTGATGGTGCATTGTTGTCGCAAAGCCACCACACTCCTCGCAAACCATCACCCCACAAAATGTCTGCAATCCTTCCCAACGCAACAGCTACCAACTGCAGAATGTCGGCGATGAATATTTGATGTGTACAAATAGTAGTGTCCTGGCGTGCGGTGTCCAACAAACAAATAGCTGTGGATATCCTGTAAACTGGCTTGTGACAAATAGTAGTTTGAACGCATCGCTTGCTGCTCCTACATGTAAGACTTGAACACTCCAAAGTTCTATAGAACCTCACCGGTCATCGCGGTCATCGTGCCTCGCATCCATTCCGGGGACTTATCGTTCGCCCCGCTGGTGATCATCTTCGTCATCCATGCATCTGGGGAGTCCTCAAGTTGTGACACAAACAAGTTGCGTCCTCAAATTGCTTGGAACTCCAGGTTCCCAAAGATCTTCAACATGAATCCTGCATCTGCCCAGCTTGGTCAATCCAACAAAAATCATTTAGCCAGGTGTCCACGGAAACGATTTCTGAATTTTTGATGCAGCAGCACTGACAGCAGGCCATGCCTCAGGATGCCGTGACAACAAAAGTGGCATGGAGGCGCGCGAGTCCAACACTTCCTTCCCGAGTCCTTTCCGAGATCCCAGAAAGAACAAAGTGGACTAATGTAGGCTCTTGATTTATAACCACTTCCATTTGGATTGCAAAACCCCTTCATACAGGGAGTTTATTACTCAAGAGTCGCCATTGCTGGGAGATCAACCGATCCCATGTCACCGGTGTCCAACTTTCATGGCAGGAAGCAACAAGCATGGTCGCACACCTTCGGTGCGACTGCCAAGGTGAGCAACCAGATTGGGGCAAGCAATGTCTTTTTCTTTAAGTGGTCATGGTCACATCCGGAGTCAAGATGAGTCAAGTGCATGTATTCGGGCAGTTTAGGGCCTCAAAACAGACACGCATCAAAGCATTACCGGCAAGCAAAAGCTCTGAAAGGATAATTGACAATACCAATGAAATATTCTTGGATTTTGCATCAAGGAGAAGATCATCCAGGTCAGAAATATCCTCGATCGTTCGGCTCTAGACATGCACTCCATTTCATGGGTAGGCATGACATGCAGTAGTTGACCACCTGTACAATATACTCATGAAGAATCCATGGTCGGTGGAGAGTCATGTCCAAACTCCGACCCCGACTACTGACTACTGGCATGCCATCGTAGCAAGCCCAGTGACAATTGATCGGGGAAACACACCAGGGTGAACGATACGACCAAAAGTTGCACTGCTGCGCACAATGAGGCAAATAGCCAGGAACCCACCTGAGTGGCAACAGCTAGTTTCTAGTTTGCAGTCTCAGGATGACCAGAATCCAAGTCCAACTGGCACTTGTACTAGACATCATTTTTCTCAAGCAAAACCTTCCCACGCGCAACCAAACACACATGCCCAAATCTGCTCCCAGATGACATTGGTCGCTGCTCAGGGTCATTGCCAAAACACAGATCTTGTTCATGCCACAAACTGGCTGCAGGGGTGGGGCAAAGCACAAGTCAGTCTAAAACTGCCATACCCAGCCACTGAGGGGGATCGTAGACCAAAGGTGGTTTTCCTTCTTGGAAGCTATCCCACGGAATGCCATTCGCAAACCAAGCGGGCGTTTTGGCCGGAAAGTCATACTTCGTGCCTTTCCACCATGGCGTCATCGACTCTTGCTTGGGTGCCTCCATCACGTCACAGGCCCACTACCCACCCGTGAGAAAACTGAGAAATTTCGCAGAGGCACAGCACTGCAGCACTTGAGCTTGGAAGAACATGTCACTCAAACATTGTTTGCATCAAAATGTCTGCAAAATGTTTGGAGTTCAACCAAATATAAAGAAAGGACTTGTTAGGTGATAGAGTGCAAGCCGACCCCGGATCCGTCCCACAGCTCACGAGCATGACCCCACCAGAAACACTTGCAGCCTCTTGCAGCATCAACTCAAGCAATTGATTCCTCGATCGACAAGTCAAGCAGTGCGATTCAAGGTGTCAGCATCGTGGGATGTTTTCTTTTGCAAGTTGCATGTTCTTGGGCAAGCCAGTGACATGAACAATGCAAAATACAGCCAAAGCTGCAAAGTTCACCGCAGAACGGAGAAAGCTGAACAGTTTGGCAAGCCAGCTTCCACAAAAATGATATGCTGTAGAGAGATGTATATGTATATATATATATGCCTGGGAAGGGAGGGGATGAAAGCCAGCCTCTGGCTTAGGGGGTGCTTTCAGGGTAGGCCCGAGCAAAGACTTGGCGTGCAGGAGGAAGTGATGGGGTAACATCGGGCAAAGATCAATTTCATGGGGCGAAGTTGACATCGCAGCCACACTGAGGGTATATATAAATGGAAAGTAGAAGGCATAGGTCTGGGGGGGGGTGCCCTTTTTTGCCCCGGTTCAGGAGGGATTTGGAGGTGAAAAAGGGCATCCCTCAGGAAGTGAGGCGCGCTTGCCGGCGGCGTGTTGAGCAGAGATGGCGGTGGGGGTTCATGCGCGAGGCAATGGGTAGGGTAGGTGAAGAAATATATATATATATGTGTGTGTAGGTAGAGTGGACAAAGAGTAGCCGGAAGTGGTGAGGTTGATATTGGAGCGACGTGGGTGCGCAAGATGAAGTGATAGGCTAACATTATGTAAAGAGTACGTGTATGGGGTGAAGTTGGCATCGCAGGTACGCGATAGACTGTAGGAAAAAGGGGGTGCGCTTTTTCGTCTGGGTTCAGAAGTGTTGTGGAGGTGAAAAAGGGCATCCTCAAAGATGTTATGTGAGTTCGTCGCTGTCTGTTGGTCATGAGTGAGCAGAGCCGGTTGTGGGCGAGGCTATCGGCAGGCTTTCGTGGCGACATATATATATATATACATATATATATATGTTTTAATGTATATAGGTAGAGTGGGCAAGGAGCTGGAAGTGGCGAAGTGGATATGGCCGTCACTTGAGAAAGAATGGAAATAGAGAGTAGAATACAGAGGTTTGGGACGGGTCCCCTTTTGCGTCTCGATCGGGGGAGAAAGGGCACCCTTGTAGTTGCTCGACCACGCAACAGAACAACTCAAGTGGTCTGCCTCCAGCGCTTGCCCGCTGACCTTCCACCTCCTACACTTGCCCACTGCAATGTGTTCTCGCTCCTGCCCAACAGATGGCGTCATGCACTCCACCTTGCTGTGGGCAAGCGCTGGAGGTGGAAGGCAGACCGCTTGGCGTTGTTCCGTTGCGTGGTAGTGCGAGTGCCCCGCAGCTCTTCTGGCCCAATTGCCATCGGACTGAAGAGGGCGCTCCCTATACGCGGTGGGAGTTCACGTGGATGGGGGGTTGTTAAGGGCAGGAGAAAGAAGAGAGTGCATCATGCCAGCTGTTGAGGGCCTGCGAGAACCCCATTTGGGATTCCCTTTTGAGTCCAGCAACTGGACCTCACTACGCAGTTCGGTTCTCTCGCCGGCCCTGAACGGATGGCATCATGCACCCCATGTCGGGTGCCCTTTTCAGTCCAGCAACTAGACCTAGTTGCTATGGATAATAAAGAGAGCTCGACGTTATGCGGGTGTGGTTTTTACGCGTTTTTGTTGCGTTTTTCTTAGATTTTGTCATGTTTTGAAAGAGTTTCCACGGTTGCGGTCTAGATATGTTCTTGTGCTCCTGTTTCCCAAACAAACCAACTTTTATTTGTTTAAAGCAACCTCTGGATCCGACTCTACCCTTCCTTGCCCATAAGCATTCTCATTGTTGCAAAGGTAGCACTTTTTGGGCTTCTCCCTCCACATTCTTTATGAAATGGAGAGAAGATCATTATCTTG